TACTTAAAAAAGTTTTCTATGAAGTTATGGGACTGTTCAAAGGATCTATTTCATATTGAGTGAGTTGAGGGAGTTGAGTTGTGGAAGGTTGTGGTTTTTGAGGAATTGGTCCATTTTAATTGGGTTGCCAAATTTATGTGTTTGAAACTGTTCATAATACTCCCTTATTGTCCTTTTGATGCCTACTGGGTTTTAAATGAAACCCACTGTTTCATTTCCGGTGTTGGTAAATTGTGTCTATCCTTTTTCATTCTTTGTCATTCTTAGAGGTTTATCAGTTATACTGATCTTTTCAAGAAAGCAAATCTTTGTTTCATTGATTTTCTCCATTATTTTTCTATTTTCAGTTTATTGGTTTCTGCTCTTTATTATTTCCTTCCTTCTGCTTACTTTGGGTTTATTTTGCTCTTCTTTTTCAAGCTTTTCTAGGTTTTTTTTTTTAAAGATGTTATTTATTTATTTGAGAGAGAGAGAATGAGAGAGAGAGAGCACGAGAGGGCAGAGGGTCAGAGGGAGAAGCAGACTCCCCGCCGAGCAGGGAGCCCGATGCGGGACTCGATCCCGGGACTCCAGGATCATGACCTGAGCCGAAGGCAGTCGCTTAACCAACTGAGCCACTCAGGCGCCCAAGCTTTTCTAGGTTTTTGAGGTAAGAACCTAGATTATTATTTTGCAAGTTTTCTTCTTTTCTAATTTATCTAATTTCTAACTATCTAATCTCTTCTATCTAATTTATCACTATAAATTTTCCTTTCAAAACTGCTTTAACTGTGCCTCACAAATTTTGACGTTATATTTTCATTTTCATTTATTGCAATGTATTTTTTAATTTCACTTGAAGCTTTTCTTTGATCCATGAATTATTTAAGAATGTGTGGTTTTAGTGTTTAGCAATTTTCCTCTTATCTTTCTGGTATCCATTTCTAATAAGATTCCATCATGATTGGTAAATAAATTCTGTATGATTTCAGTTCTTTTAAATTGTGGAAATTTGTTTTATCATTTAGGATGTGGTCTATCTTGGGCACTTGAAAAAAATGATTTTCTGCTGTTGTTGGATGAATTATTCTGTAATTGTGGTTTGGAACCTGTTGGTTGGTGATGTTAAATTCTTCTATATCCTCACTTATATTCCGTCTACTTGTTCTATCTCTTGTTAAGAGAAAGGTGCTGAAATAGCCAACTATAATTGTGGATTTGCCTAAAATAACAAGTTTTATCACTGTTCCCTTCAAACATTTTGCAACTTCCTTCTTTGGCATATACACTTTTAGGATTGCTGTGTCATCTTGTTGGATTGATTTATCATTAAATAATATTCTTCTGTCTCTGGTCATTTTCTTTGCTCTGTAGTTTACTTTATCTGACATTAATATAGCCACTCCTGTGCTTATTACATATCTTTATCTATAGTTTTACTTTCAACCTACCTATATTGTTATATTTCAAGTGAGTATCTCACAAAAAGGATATAGTTGGATCATGTTTTTAATCCACTCTACTAATTCTGTCTTTTAATTTCTGTCTGTAGGCAATTTATATTTAATATAATTGTTGGCATTTGGGACTTATGTCTACCATTTTATTTTTTTCTTTCTATTTGTTCTCTCCGGTTTTCATTTCCCTGTCTTATTTTCCTGACCTCATATGATAACTTGAAAATTTTTTTACAATTCTACTTTTATCTACTGTGTTTTTGACTGTATGATTTCATATAGCTTTTTCCAGTGGTTGCTATAGATGCTACATTATATCTGCATAACTTACAGCAGTCTAATGGTGTTATCTTACCAGATTGGATGAAGTGTAAAAATCTTACTTCCCTTTTTATCCCCTTACATTATCCACTTACAATTATCCCACATATATAATTATCTTAAATATTTCCACTACATACATTTAGAACCATACCAGATGGTGCTTCAACAGTCAAACATAATTTAGAAAATGGAAGAGGAGAAAGTTTATTGTAATTACCAACATTTTTGCTTAGTGTGTTCTTTTCTCCTTCTTCATGTTTCAAAGTTCCTTTTCTTTTTTTTTTTAAGATTTATTTATTTTAGAGAGAGTCGGGGGGGAGGGGCAGAGGGAGAAGGAGAGAAATCCTCAAGCAGACTCCCCGCTGAGTGTGGAGCCCGATGTGAGGCTTGACATGGGGCTTGGATCTCCTGAACCGAAATCAAGAGTCTGACGCTTAACTGGACTGAGCCACCCAGGTGCCCCTCAAGGTTCCTTCTCTTATAATTTCCCTTCTGTTTAGAGAGCTTCCTTTGACCATTCTTTTAAGGTAGGTTGTGTAGGTTACACCATTTTACATTTCCACCAACAGTGCACAAGGGTTCCTTCCAGTTTCTCCATATCCTAACCAATACTCATTATTTACTGTTTTTTAATAGGAATCATCATAATGGATGTGAAATGATATATCATTGTGGTTTGAGTTTGCATTTCTCTAATGATTAGTGATGTTGGTCATTTTTCGTATGCTTGTTGGGCATTCGTATATCATTTTTGTAGAAATGTTTATTCAAGTCTTTGACTATTTTTAATTAGCTTATTTGTGTTATTGAGTTGTAGGAAGTTTTTTTATATATATATTCTGAATATTAACCCCTTATTAGATATATAATTTGCAAATATTTTCCCCCATTCCATAGCTTGCCTTTTCATTCTGTTGTGTCTTTTTTTTTTATTATGTTATGTTAGTCACCATACAGTACATCATTAGTTTTTGATGTAGTGTTCAGTGATTTATTATTTGCATATAACACCCAATGCTCATTACAACATGTGCCCTCCTTAATACCATCACTGCTCTACCACCCCCCCCACCCCTGAAACCCTCAGATTGTTTCCCGGAGTCCACAGTCTCTCCTGATTTGTCTCCCCCTCTGATTTCCGACCACCTCCTGATTTCCCTTCCTTTCCCTACTGTCCTCCATGCTGTTCCTTATGTTCCACATATTAGTGAAACCATATGGTAATTGTCTTTCTCTGCTTGACTTATTTCATTTAGCATAATCCCCTCCAGTTCCATCCATGTCAATACAAATGGTGGGTATTCATCCTTTCTGATGGCTGAGTAATATTCCATTGTATATACTGACCACATCTTCTTTATCCATTCATCTGTTGTGTCTTTTGCTGAAATTTTTTAAGTTTGATGTAGTCCTACAAAAAGGGTTTACTTTAAAGATTAGTATACCTAAAACAATTTTCCTCCCTCCATTCTCTTTTTTCTCTTCCCAGCCTATTTTAAATGTGAGCTTCCTGATCTCTATAGGCCAAATTACTGAAAGAATTTTCACCTAACTCGCTTTTTTTAGAAGGCATTAAATCTAGGTTTCTGGTTGTCATAGTATTGTAGGGCATCAAATTTCCACCCACTTTGCGTATCTTGGCCTATTTGGCATTAATGTAGCTGTAAGGTATGTTTTTTTATTCACTTTCTATGCATACAGGAGTTACTAACCAAAAAGATAATAGCCTTAGCTTTGGACAATTACTGTGTCACAGGAAAGTAAATCCTAATCTGAATTTATATCTACCACTGGGAGGCGATATTCCTATATATTATTTCATGGAAGTGGGCTTATATAATCTATTTGCCATAATTCTCCAAGCTTATCTCCTCTGTTAATTTGATTTCTCTCATGACTGATTCATTGGAATGGCTCATGTTTTTTGAGGCATTTTTGGATCATACTTAAAGCTAACTATTATTATTTGGATTTTGTTTATTCTAACCATTGCTATGTTTCTATAACCCTGAATGCCACTAATTTTCCAAATAGCAGACTGCCAATTTGCAGACCAAATATTGCCCAGGAATCAGCCATTATCAGTTATTATGTGAAAAAAATAACTCTTATATAGTAGTAGCCTCCAAGACCACTACCCAAAAAGCTATCTTAGAGATCATGGGACAGAATGGCTCACAGACCAAAGATGCTTGAGACATATGCTTTTTTAAATCAATTAAAATACACAGCAAAAAGTAGAGGGGAAGATATGGGTAACATGCTTTGGATAAGGCACAAGAGGGGTAGAAGAATCTTATTACCAGAGTTATGCAAGTTCATATATCCTCTCTCCCTCTCTGCTGTATCAGCATTCTCCACTGATGGTGAAATTTTGAGAGTTGAGGTCTGTCCAAGGAGCTTCCACAGGTGGAAGTCAATGCATACATTTGTCCTAATCAGAGAGATGCAGAGAGGTACATATGCCTGACCACAGATATAATTCATCAATTAGCCTGATAAGCTACTGTGGAGCTTGTCTACGTTCCTTGAGTAGAGGATACAAGGGATCAGAATGGGTGTCACCAACGAGTAACCCAATTAGGACTTCAAATAGATCAAATGCTTCAAGTGTGTCTTACGAAAATTTAATATCTATTTGGTGCTTCCATCTCTTCCTAACTATAGTTAACACTCATATGCTCTATTTACTTTATCTACATCTACCATAATATAATTCACAAACTATTTGCTTCTATACTGAGTTTCTATATCCTCCTTACTTCATACAACCTTCTCTATTCAGTTTCATATATCCTCCTTTGTTTCTCTTATTTTCCATAGCTGAAATGAGTATTTTCAAGTAATACAGCTAACACACATTACAGCAAACAACCATTAATAAGGACAAAACATCTCTCTCTATATATTGACTAGGAGTATCTCCAAGATACAGTTAGTGAATAAAACAAGTAAAGGGAATTGTGTATAGCATATTGCCATTTGTGTGGGGGAAAAAAGTGCTTATGTATTTGTTTGGAAGTATTTTTCTGATAGGATACAGAAGAAACAAGTAATGGTAATTTCCTCTCAGGAGGAGAAGTTGATGGCATGTATATCTTTTAAACATTCTGAATTTTATAAGAAAATTTTATAATTATACATATATTTGTATATATATAACCTATTAAAATTAATTATTTGAAATTTTACTTATAAAAATACTAAATCATTTTTCTTTTTCTATGTACAGCTCTCAGAATGGCAGCACAACTGAACCTGACAGAAAACACGGATGACTGGACAAAAAGAGATGTAAATCATTGGTTGGAAAATCATAGAATTCATCAAAAGCATAGGGAAATGTTGACTGCAAAAGATGCACATGGAGCAATCCTGGAGTGGTTAACTAAAAATTACCTTGTTGATATGGGCATAACACATGGATGAGCTATCCAACTAGAACAGCTATTCAAAGAACCGCAGAAAACAACCTCTGAAAATCTTATTCAGACATGTAAGATGAAAAAGGTAGTAAAACTGTTCCAAAAATACAACCTTGATGCAAGAGGAAAATGGAGAAACTTCAAAGCAAAAGCAAAATGATAAAGAGAAATCAGCTATGGCTAATGCCTCTACAATGACTACAGTTACTAAAGGTTCTTAGCCACTAAAAACTAAATTTGTGAAAGATGAAATAGATGACACAAAGGAAAATCAGTCATCCAGAGAACTGACATGTGTATCATACCTTTTTGATGAATTCATGACCCATATCACTACAAATTGAATTTTAGTCTACAGCCTGAAACAGGACCACTACTCAATCTCATTTATCCAATACATGAATTCAAAGCCTTCACAAATAAACACCCACAGAAGAAATGTTAAGATGAAATTTAGCAATGAAGTTTTTCAATTTTCTTCAGTTTGTAAGAAAATTCACTTACTAATGGCACCATTCATTTTGGAGTCAAAGGCAAACCTCATGGAAAAACTTTTGACATGAAAGTCACCAAGTACACCAAGGAAGCTCTCATTGACCACTTCAAACTGATGATCCACCAGTATTTTGAAGACCATCAGGTCCCAAAAGCAATGAAGTACAATTGAGAGCCAAGATTTGTAGACATTTTACTGCCAAACAGTAAGTATTCTGACAGATTTGTTATTGAAGTGAATGTCATTCAAAAGTACTCTGAATGTGAACATGATTATTTCCAGACTAAAATGCAAAATCACAACAACAGAACATGGAAACAAAATTCAAAATACTTAGTCTTCATGCAAGAGAGGGGCAGATCTAAGGACATGATGAAAATTAATGCAGATTTCAGAGCATTTAAATTAGATTTAAAAGCACTGGCAGATCTAGAAAAGAGGCAGAAGAAAAATGCAAAATAAAAATGAATAAAAAGGAGAGTAACGGACCAACACTTGTTAAATTGTTGAGAGGAAATCAGGGTTTGTTTGATAATTCATACCACAACTGGTACACATTCTTGTAACAAATAAATGCCATCTGAATCAAATAAAACATCTAGATCTCCTAAAGGAAATTAAATTATTTGCTCTGTTGGAGTTTAATCCCAAGTCTGTGAGCAAGGGGGCAGTCAAGGCTTACAAAAAAAGCCAAGTAGCAAACCTTCACTTTCCAAGTCTGTTCATGGAGGGGAAAGCTATACAAAATGCAAAGATTTCTAGTCTGAATCTTTTCAACAATGCAGCTGGATTTTCAGCAATGGCAGGTTAGACCTTAACAGTGAAAAATATAAATCCTTAGATCCAAGTTCCTGGCAAAGAGAAAGACTATTACTCTCTATTACTCTATTATTCTCCTCCAGGGGTGACTCAAGAGACCTCCTCCTTGAGACCTTCTGTGCTTTCTACCAAGATCTCAAAGGACTGAAAAATATATTGTGTATTTGTGTACACTTACACATATGTCAGGATGAAAAGATCTACTTGAAGCAAAATTAACGAACCAGTAAAATGAATTATCAAGCTAATGTATTTCTGACTTAAATCGTGAAGAGATAAATGGCACTATTCTTAAACTAAAATCTGTCACTCAATCTTTAAAGAGATTTTTGCTCCATTGGTTCATCTAACTGTCCTTCTGAAAAAAGAAGTTGTCATGACCACTCTGGAAATTCTCTGTAAAAATGAATATGAAGGTACAGTCTTAGAGAAGGACAAAAATAAAGTATTTGTATTCTGGCATCAAAAGAGGAAGACTTCTATCGAGGTGGTAAAGTATTATGGTAGAACTTCAATTTTTCTTCTATAAAATGAATAAATAAGAAAAGCTTGAAACAACTACTGGGTATTTACCCCAAAGACACAAATGTAGGGACCCGAAGGGGTACGTGCACCCCAAAGTTTATAGCAGCAATGTCCACAATAGCCAAACTATGGAAAGAGCCCAGATGTCCATCGACAGATGAATGGATAAAGAAGATGTGGTGTATATATACAATGGAATATTATGCAGCCATTGAATGAGATCTTGCCATTTGCAACGACATGGATGGACTGGAGGGTATTATGCTGAGCGAAATAAGTCAATCAGAGAAAGACATGTATCATATGATCTCACTGATATGAGGAATTCTTAATCTCAGGAAACAAACTGAGGGTTGATGGAGTGGTGGGGGGTGGGAGGGATGGGGTGGCTGGGTGATAGACACTGGGGAGGGTGTGTGCTATGGTGAGCGCTGTGAATTGTGTAAGACTGTTGAATCACAGACCTGTACCTCTGAAACAAATAATACATTATATGTTAAAAAAAAAAAAAAAGAAGAAGAAGAAGATAGCGGGAAGGGAAAAATGAAGGGGGGGAAATCAGAGGGGGAAATGAACCATGAGAGACTATGGACTCTGAGAAACAAACTGAGGGTTCTAGAGGGGAGGGTGGTGGGGGGATGGGTTAGCCCGGTGATGGGTATTAAAGAGGGCACGTACTGCATGGAGCACTGGGTGTTATATGCAAACAATGAATCATGGCACACTACATCAAAAACTAATGATGTAATGTATGGTGATTAAGATAACATAATAAAATTTTTTAAAAAGAAAGCAAAGCTTGAAGCAATGAGTATAAACTGGACAGATTCTCCTAAACCAACATGTGCCAAAATTATTCGTCCATATTATCATCCAGGCTGTGATGGGACTGCCTTGGCTGTGCACATTCTTTCGCAAATAAGGAAGAAACTTAGATGTGCTATGCTGAAGAACAAAACGGGATTTTTCTGAAATTGGAGAACAGTGACTAATTTAATCACCTTTGGGGCAACCAACCACTAGGAAAACTTACTTGGACTGCTCCTTGTTGATGATTTAAAGAACAAAATAGGGGCACCTGGGTGGCTCAGATGGTTAAGCGTCTGCCTTCTGCCTGGGTTGTGATCTCCAGGTCCTGGGATTGAGCCTGGAGTTGGGCTCCTGGCTCAGCAGAGAATCTGCTTCTCCCTCTGCTTTTGCCCTTCCCCTCCACTTATGCACACACACACTTGCGCTCTCTCTCTATCTCTCCTGCCCTCAAATAAATAAATAAAATATTTAAAAAAGATAAAAAACAAAATAATGTCTATCTTCTCCAGGCCTCTATTAGCTGTAGCTAATAAGTACATTTGGTATGAGAAACCTCCAGTGATCCTCCTAATTTGCATGAGATCACAGAGTCCTGAAAAAAGTGCCAAGATCTCATGATAACATCCTAATATAACAACTATCTCCCAAAGAACAGAGCTTAAATAGAAAAAAAAAAAAATGAAGCACAACATAAAAAATTTAAAGATTTTTATTTCTCCATGATTATGAGAAACAATTTTTAATAAAAAGTACATAGAAAATGTGGCCAGAAAAAAAAAAAGAAATTTAAAAAAGAAAATGTGGCTAGGAACATCCTGAAAAGACAAAATACTTCCACCAAGGAAACAAAACTCTTTTCTTTGCTGGCTCTTCCTAATTCATATATGCCTGATAACACTATTTTATTATCATAGTGTGAAAAATTCTTAGGAGTCACAAACAAGAAGTTTTTCTGGGGAACAGAAAAACTTGAAGACAAGATAGGCACTAACTCTACAATTCGGATAAAAATTGGAATGTGGAAAGTACTGTGTAGTGCATATTATTCACCCTTTGAATGCCATTTGCTCACTGGAAGAACTGAAGATAAGCTATTATTTGGATTAAAGTCAAATTATGCTGGAAATGCTAACAGAAAATGTGTTCTATGATACTGGTATAGGAAAAAGTAAATTTTTCTAATATACACAAACACTGCTGCTCCCCAGACAGCATAATGAACATGAAGGTGAAACTGGAACTTGATTTTCCCATTTATTAAAGCACACATAAAAATGAGGGAAATGTGTCAGTCAAATAGGTGTTGCTTGAAGGTATTCAGTCAAAATACATTCATTTACCAAGTTTTGCAAGACACTTCCACATTAAAGAGGATTTTGCAATGCTCTAAATTAGGCAAATAAAAAAAAAAAGATAGAACCTGAGAATTCTTATACCTCAGATACACTGGGTCTTATACCTCAGATATACTGGGTCAAGTCTACAAAAGTAAAATAAGATGGGGAATAGAGGGTAATGGAAGAAGCAAGAACATTTCGCTTGATGATTTAACTGATCTTCTGGATGTAGCTGTATATGCCTCCAGTACATTCAAAGAATCTCAACAGCAAAGTGAAGATAGAGAGTATGAAGCGAAGGAAAGGTCTTCAGAAGTAAAAAATATGGTACGAAACTTACAATATAGCTAGATATCAAGGGAGATAGAAGTTGGGCTCTACACAATCCAGATTCTCCAGCTCAATCCTTTTTTTTTTTGACAATAAAAATGAAATGTCTAAAAGACATTTGATCAATTTCATGTCAGTAGTGATATTGCTGGAGATCCAAAGAATGAATTTAAATTAGCCCTTAAGAACTTTATTCCTTATCTAATTAACTTGCAATTTTCTTTGAAAGAATCCTTTAACTTTTTTTGATGGTTATTCTGTCCTTCTAAAAGTCAGGAACAACATTAAGCAAAAAGAACAGGCCAAAACTCAGAGAAAGATGGCTGTATATTTTAAAAATTTGCAGATATATTTGGTCCCTTAGGGAAAGCACAAAACAAAGATCTCAAATCAAGGCTTAGTTTGCCACTTCAAGTAGAACTTTATCAGCGAAGTCTACAATTTTTAAAAGCAGACAAGTTTTCTGGACTGGTGGGATAGATGTCTTATCGAAAGTGAAGAAGATGGTATAAGCTCCATGGAAGATACAATAAACAAATACACTTTTCTTTTTGAACAATCCTGGGGCAAGACTATGAATGTATACTCTTGTCCATTTCTGATCCTTTTTTCTGATAGGGCTAGAAAATAGGCAATAGCTAAAATACCTGACATCATTTTAATCTTCTCTAGCAAAGATGCCACAGTTGTCAAGGAAGTTGCAATTAGGGCTAGTATTTGGTTGAGTTTGTGGTAATTTATTGCCTAGAGATGAAGTCTTAATAAGCTTCAAGTAATAAGCTTAATAGAGACTCACATGCTCTGACTGTAATGAAAGAAAGTTTGAAATGGATAATAAAAATAACTAAATAGAATGACCACTATATATTTGGAAGTTAAAAAGAGCTCATGAGGTAAAGAGAAAATCAAAAAGGAAATTTTAAAGTGCTTATAGCTGAATAAAAATTTAAAAATTACATTTCAAAATTTATGAGATATAGCAAAAGTATTGCATGGTAAGAAATGTATGGCCTTAGTTATTTATTCCAAATAATAAGAAAAGAATGAAAAGTAATCAATTAGGTATAAACTTTAGAAATTAGAAAATACAGAATAAACTCAAAGAAAATAAAAGATAGATTATAATAAGGATAAAACCAGAAATTAATGTTACAGAAAAGAAGAAAACAGAAGAGCTCAATAAAGCAAAAACTAGTTCTTTGAAAAAACTAATAAAATAGGAAAAATTCTGATATAATTAATCAAAGATGATTAAAGATACAATGAATGAAGAAGAAACATAATTACAGGTAAAGTGAAAAAGATAGATTTCATCTTCTAGGAAGATGGAGTAAACATACTTTTTCCTATTCCTTCCCCTAGGTATAAAAGGTGGCTCTGAAAGGTAGAGAAAGAAAGGTAAACTAACTAGACACCTAGAGATCAAAGAAATAACACAATGCCAGGGCATTATCAGCACTTATTGGGAAACCAGAACTTTCACCCTTATTCAGTAATAATGTCCCCAATCAAGTGTCAGTGGAAACCAAGGAGGAAAGCTGGATCTCCATGCCCACTTGGGAGTAATGAGGCAAGGGACACCCCTCTTTCTCTGACAGAGTGGTATCAAAAAGCCAACTAAAACAGGTTTAAATAAGATTTAAAGCCTCAGGACATAATACCCAGATACCAGGTTTTAATGTAAAAATTATTCATCATACCAAGAACCAGGGAAACATTAACATGAATGAAAAACTACAATTGATTGATGTCAACACCAAGATAACAAAAAGATTAGAATGTTCTTTCTTGAGGCACCTGGGTGGCTCAGTCATTAAGCATCTGCCTTTGGCTCAGGTCATGATCCCAGGGTCCTGGGATCAAGCCCCACATCAGGCTCCCTGCTCAGAGGGAAGCCTGCTTCTCCCTCTCCCACTCCCCCTGCTTGTGTTCCCTCTCTCGCTGTCTCTCTCTGTCAAATAATAAATAAATAAAAATTTTTAAAAAAAGAATGTTCTTTCTTTCTTTCTTTTTCATTTTTAAATAGGCTCCACGCCCAATGTGTGACTTGAACTCATGACCCCGAGATCAAGAGTCACATGATTTATCAGTAAAGCCAGCCAGGTGCCCCAAAGATTAGAATTTTCTAACAAAGATTTTAAAACAGCTATCATAAAAATACTTCAATGAGGAATTATGAAGATGCTTAAAACAAATGAAAAAATAGAAAGTTTCAGCAAAGAAATAGATTCAGGAAGGAAATGGAATATATAAAAAAGAACCAGATGGAAATTTTAGAGCTAAAAACACAATACTGAAAATAGAAAACCAAACGGATGGACACAACAGTAGAGTTCAGGGGACAGGAGAAAAATTAGTGAACTTAGAGATAGAACAATAGAAATCACCCCCTCTGAATAAGAAAGAGAAAATAGACTGGGTGGGGAGATGGTGGGTGCAGAGAGACTCAGGACCTATGGGACCATAACAAAAATATCTATTATTTCTTTAATGGGAATCCCGGAAGGAGTAGAGAAATAGGGTGATACTGTAAAAGTGCTGGAAGAAATAATGGTTGAAAACTTTCCAAATCTAGCAAAAGGAAGAAATCTACAGATTCAAAACACTGAGCAAACTTCAACTGAAAACCCAAAGACAACCAGAGCAAGACATACTATAGTCAAAGGTAAGAGCAGAATTCAGTGAAATTGAATGCAGAATAAAAATAGAGACAATCAACTTTTTAAAAAGCTGGTAATTAGGGGTGCCTGGGTGGCTCAGTCAGTTAAGTGTCTATCTTCAGCTTAGGTCATGATCATAGGGTCCTGGGATAGAGGGCCCCCCCCCACTTCCCTGCTCCAGTTGAGTCAGGCTCCCTGCTCAGCGGGGAGTCTACTTCTCCCTCTCCTCCCTCTGCCCCTCTCCCCAACTCATGCTCTCTCTCAAATAAATAAATAAAATCTTTAAAATAAATAAATAAAATTAAAAGCTGGTAATTAGAAAAGATCCATTAAATGAATAAAACTCTAGCAAGACTGACAAAGGGGGAAAAAAAGAGAGAAAAGAAATAAATCACCTATATCAAGAATGAAAGAAGCATATCACTACATATTCTGAAGACATCAAAAGAATAATAAAGGAATACTACATACAAGTAAAATAAGGGAACACATAACTTTGACAACTTAGATGAAGCAGATAAATTCTCAGAAAAGCACAAACTCTTATATCTCACTCAATGTGAAATAGATTATTTGAATAACCCTATAACTCCTAAGGAAATTGAATGTATAATTTGGAACTCCCAAAATGAAGTCTCTAGGCCGAGATAGTTTCACTGGAGAATTCTACCAAGCAATTAAAAAAGAATTAACACCAATTCTAAATAGTGTCTTTTAGAAAATAAAAGAAAAACTCCCAATTTATTTTATGAAACTGAAATTACCCCAACACCAAAACCAGACAGAGAATGCCTTCCTCCAAAAAAGTAGAGACCGATATTCCTCATGAACATGAACACAAAGATTCTTAGCAAAATATGAGCAGATACGATCCAGCAACATATGAAAGAATCATATACCAAGGCAAGTGTGGCTTATACCAGGGATGTAAGGCTGATTAAATACTCGAATATTAATCAACTACCAAAAAACATGAATCAATTGCCATTATTAGCAGGCTATAACGGAAAATCACATGATCATATCAACTGACAGAGAAAAAGTATGTGATAATATTCAACATTCATTTGTGATAAAATCTCACAGAAAACTAGGAATAGAGGGGGACTTCCTCAACTTAATAAAGAGCATCTACCAAAAAAAAAAAAAAAAGCCTACAGTTAACACCATACTTAAGGTAAAAGACTGAATGAGTCCTTTCCCCCTAAGATTGATAACAAGGCAAAGATCGCTGCTCCTACCACTCTTATTCAGCACTAAACTAGAAACCTGAGGTAATGCAATAAGGCAAATAAAAACATACAGATCAGAAAGGAAGAGATAAATTTGTTACCATTTGAAAATAACATGATTTTCTACATAAAGATCCAAAGGAATCTATTTAAAAAAAAATCTTGAACTAAGAAGTGAGTTCAGCAAGGTCGGTCACGGGATACAAAATAAACCTACAAAAATTCACATCACTAATCATCAAGGGAATGCATATTAAAATCACAATGAGACCTTACACTTGTCAGAATGGCTAAAATAAAAAGACAAGAAACAATGAGTATTGATAGAGAAGTGGAGAAAAAGAACCCCTCCTGCACTGTTGGTGGGAATGTAAGTTGATAGAGCTGCTATGAAAAACAGTATGAAGATTCCTCAAAACTTTAAAAACAGAAATACCATATGATCCCATAATTCCACTACTGTGTATTTGCCCAAAAAACATAAACATTAATTCAAAAAATATATGCATCTCTATGTTTATTGTAGCATCATTCACAATGGCCAAGATATGGAAGCAACCTACGTGTCCACTGATAGATGAGTGGATGAAGAAGATGTGGGGGTAGGGGCGGTGCACATGAATATGATGGAATACTACACAGACATAAAAAGGGGATGAGATCTTGCCGTTTGTGACAACATGGATGGACCTAGAGCATGTTATGCTAAGCAAAATACATCAGACTGAGAAAGTCAAATACCACATGATTTCATTTACATGTGGAATCTAAAAAACAAAACAAATGAATAAACAAAGAGCAGAATCAGACCTATAAATACAGTGAACAAACTGTGGTTTCCAGAAAGAAGGGGGTGAAGGTATAGGCAAAATGGGCAAAGGCAAGTGGAAGACACAAGCTTCCAGTTACAGAATGAATAAGTTGCAGGAATAAAAGACACAGTACAAGGAATATAGTCAACGGTATTGTAATAGCATTGCATGGTGACAGATGGTAGCTCTACCTGTGGTAGGCATGGCATAACATACAGAGATGTTGAATGACTATGTTGTACCTAAAAATAATGTAACCCTGATCAACTATACTCAAAAAATTATCTTTCTATATATGAGCAGTGAACACATGGACACTAAAATAAAACATCAATACCTTTTGTAATCACTCAAAAAAACTGAAACACTTAAATGTAAATCTAGCAAAATGTGTGCATAACTCTTAAGCTGAAAATTATAAAATGCTAACAAAAGAAATCAGAGTTCTAAATAAATGGAAAGACACACTATGTTCATGAATTAGAAGACTGAACATAGTATATGTATGCATCTATTCTTCCCAAATTGGTATATAGTTTTTTTCTATCAAAATCTTAACAAGATTCTTTGTAGATATAGACAAGATTGTTGTAAAATTTATATGGAAAGGCAAAGGAAGTAGCTAAAACAATTTTTAAAAAGAAAAAAATAAGGAGGAAGAAACCAATATATCTGATTTCAAGACTTATACAGTGGCCAAAGCTGTGTAGTGTTGGCAGAGAGAGAGATACATAGACCAATGGGACAGAATAGAGAACTTATCCATAGACCGAAGTAAGTTTTTGACAAAGTCGTAAAAGTAATTCAATGGAGACAGGATAGCCTTCTTAGCAAATGGTGCTGGAGTGATTGGACATCCATAAGCTGAAAAAAAAT